ATGAAAACCCCATGGGAACCCAACGCTGCGTCCCAGCCGCAGCGTCTCCGGACGCAGGCGGTATTTCATGTGCACCTCCACGAGCCAATCGACCAGGATGGCACGCATCTTCCCGTTGATGTCATGCTGGGCGTCCTGGAAAATCGACACACGAACATGCTAAGAACGAAGACCGCGTGGAATGTTCTTTTTTTCTTGCCAATGGGAGGAATTCTTAGATAGAAACCCCGGCCCCTTTGGCCAAAGGATCTGCCAGAAAACATCCATCACGTAGTCTTAACATGTCTTAACGGCATGTCATAAGGGGTAACTACCATCTTACGACCTGTTTTTTTGCGGTTGTGGATTGAACAACCCGGTTTTGGGACAATGATTTCCGTTGTAGTTTTTTACATGGATGTAGGAGACCTTGGTTCCCAACACCGTTCCACACATCATCCGCACAGAAAGCAACAGTCACAGCTTGATGCATGTACATATTTGGTATTCAAACACATCATTGATTCGCTGAAGGAAACAAACGGTGTAGCTGTAGTTATTGGAAGTGGCTAATTGCTCATGCGAACACAGCACGGGAATCATCACAACCTTTTAAGGGTCTTCATTAAGGCTTTGTTCAAATGCCGGAAATATCCTGGAATATCATATGGCTAACTTGAACTTATACCCTAAAGGTGATAAGTCCGTAATGCAACAGTAGATTACTAGTAACTCTGGTGTCAGTCACTTAACCTTGGTAAAGGTTCGAATTGATTCAGCTTGGAAATGGTTGTATAACTCTAAAATGGAGGTTATAGTGAGTGCTTAGGTCTGACTTGGCTACATCAAAGTGAAGTCACCATAAGGCTAACTTGGACTTAGCTTGGACTTAGTCAGTCCAACCCTTGCCCGACCTAAGTCCAAGCCAAGTCCAAAGTAAGTCTAAGCTAAGTCCTATAGCAAATCTGTCAGACAAGTTTTTGACAATGCCACATATTCCTCTTAAGCCTGAAGTACAGGGAAGAACCGTCAAACAATTTTCTGACACATATTCCCCAGTAAGATTTGGAAGAACTTTCAATAGACTCAGGTGGGACTTGGCTTAGGCTTCGCTTAGACCAAGATTGAGACTTGGCTCGGACCGACATATAATGGGAAACACAACCTAAGTTCAGCCTAATTGATTTATTCCAAATCCAAGCTACGTCTACCTTAGCAAAGTCCAAGCTAAGTCACTACTCGTACTAAAACCTTATAATATGTCTACCTTGGACTTAGTCAGACTTAGCTAGCCCTCGACCCAGCAAGCAATTTGGGCTGCGATCAGGAACGCTCGGATCAGGCCAAGAGCATTCAAAAACCTCTCAAAACCCAACATCCCAGGATGTTGGAAACTACGGGAAAACTACGTATTTTCCTACGGGTTTTTATGGGTTGTGCAGGGTTTTTTTACGGGTTTTCTACGGCTACGGATTTTTTTACGGGTCGCCTACGAGTAAAAACCCGGTTTTCCACCCTGTGGCCTGTTCCAGTGCTAACACTTACCGCAACATGACTTGCAAATCTCACAAGCGCCAACCTGTGGTCTCACAAGTCTTCTGGCACTGGGTGACCCCTCCAAGATCCGCGATCCAGAAATTGACATGCCAGCGGAGGTATTTGTCATATTCCACCTGACCTGTATTTCCACCTCATTGCCGATGCGTTCCTGGATAAGTCTGGTCAACAACTTTATTGTTGCTCCAATATCCGTACTTGCCGTGTATATCCTCAACTTTAACTTGCCACCCATATGTAATATAGGTTGTAAACCTGCTAACCTACTAGTAATCCTTGTTTTAAGTCTCTTAACCTTTACACAGATTAGGTTTGATTTAGCTTTGACTTAGCTAACTCTGGAAAGTAACTGCTTAGGCCTGACTGACTTAGCTGATTCAAAGTTATTTCACATCCGGCTGACTTGGACTTGGCTTGGACTTGGTACATCCAGCCTATGCCCGACCTAAGTCCGATCCAAAGTAAGTCCAAAGTAATTCCAATCTAAGTCCTAGAAAATGTTGACGGAAACAAGGTTTTCACAATGACACATATTCCGTTTAAGCCTGAAGTGCAGGGAGAACCCTGCCAGACAGTTTTCTGACACGCATTGCCTTTACACGAAGTGACAAGTACAGTCAAACAATTTTGTTGCACTTTTCCCCTTCAACATTTAGCAACAAGAGCTGTCGGAAGACTCTTCTCGGAGTTAGCTTAGACTTAAGGTGTGCTTGGCTAGCGGCTAGGCCTTAGGAAGCCAAGCTCAGTTGAGCCAAAGTCTAATCTAAATCCAAGCTAAATCTACCTTAGCTAAGTCCAAGCTAAGTCACAAATAAGTAAGTACATATTTGTTCCCTCAGACCTAGCTAGACTTAGCTAGCCGTCGACGCGGAAACTGGTTCTGCAGTTGCAGGGTGAAAGGAACGTGTCCAATTGATCAGCCGCTGCAATTCATGGTTGCTTTCAGCAGCACAAAATCCTGAAGTCTCAAAAACCTGGTTTTTGATACCCCCCTCTCAAAAAGCGGGTTGTAATGTATAAAACCATGTTTGTTAACAAAAAACCTTTGTTTTGCACCAGGGGTGGTGCCCATGGTAGTAGCGTCTTTGTTACGTCCGGTAGCGATGGCCTCCAACCTACCGAACGCGATGGCCTCCACCGAGCCATCGCGTCCGAACGCTCCGTCCGTCACCTCTGCCGCCCAGCATCCATGTAGTTTGGCCTCGGCATAAACGTCGCCTCTTCAAGGAAGAGCTGTTCAAGGATCTCTGGGGCGTACTCTGCCACAGCTTGGACCTTGCAATTCCGTTTGAGGCCAAGGCAGCTGTTCCATAGAATGCACCTCGAAGATTAACATAGAACCTGAAAATCACTGCGTTGTAGAGGAAAATAGTCTTCCAAAGGTCAATTGTCAGGTTCCATGTGGGTCTCTTCCCGGGTGTAAGTCATCATTTCATTGGGCTATGACGGCAAAGCCATAAGCCACCAGCCTTTTAGACCCTCGATGGGATTGAACAACTGCGAATGGACCCTTTTTGAAGCTCTTCCGGCCTTGTCATGCGCATCCAAAATGGCTTCCGTGTTGCAAATGTCCATGGGTGTGGGCAACACCTCTGGCACTACCGGCGCTGGCCGTGCTGGCTGCAGCACAGCCAAGGGCTCCCGCAGCATAGGTTTTTTGCGATCTCGTGCATCGGGGATGTTGGTGATGTCCTTGGGCAAAAGCGGTGACATCTCCCGGAAGGAACCGCCACCGCGAGGTGGTTTCAAACCAGGTTCGGAGATTCTCTAACAGGACCAACTCAGTACGGCGGTGCTTTTCTTCGGATGGTAGTCCATGCCACCATGCAAGATAGAAGCAAACGGCATTGTTTAGTTTGATGGATGAGCCCAAAAAAAACATGATCCAGGCCCCAACTCCCAAGTGCATTTACGTCCCCACCATTTGGCACCAAGACTCTGACAAGCTAGCAAGGGGCTTCTGTACCAGGCGCGTGCGTGCGCTCTGGCTCACCTTGCGCCGTGGGTTCCCCAGCCGTGGTGCCACTCCTGGTCGCCGGAGTCAACACTCCAGGTCGGCGGAGTTGGATTTGGATTCTTTTTTCTAACGGCCAGGAGCCCCGTTCGTAGCATCCGAACGCTCCGTTCGTAGCTCCGTTCGTAGCGTCCTGGTCATTGAGTAATGAAACAAGACAAACCCCAAAATCAAGGGGAGTGGCCGCGTAGCTGGCGTAGCCTAAAAACATCTAAAAACACCATTGGGATCCACAACCGTCTGGGACATGTTCAGGAAAAATGTTTCCCCTCGTGCTCGAGTTTGCGTGTCCCATGCTTTGGAAGAGGAGGGAACTTTCTTCATGGAGCTTGGCAAACAGAAGAATTCTCCACACAGTTTGTGGCGTCTAGGTCCCTTCCCTTTCTATGTTGGCAACTATCATCTCAGCCAAGCTGGCTATATATAGTTGACATGTGCAACTCAACGGGTAGTTATCTAGTCTCGCTGGGGAAGCATCAGAGTCCTGGGCGGCTGGCATATGCTTTGTTCAACAGTGTTGACATGCAGAACGAGTGAGCGTTATGGGGATCCCACGCCCGAAGGTTCCTATCTTATGCGCTTTAGAAGGAAAATCGGGAGATCTTTCAAGATGTCCAAGCCACCCCTCCTCTTCTTGGCATGCCTGGGTTCTCCGGCATGGGTTTCAGTGGATGGGTCAAAGCATGTATTCCTTCTGAGACGAAGGGTTCACCCACTGCCTTGGTCCTCTCAACTCCAAGCTGCCCATGGGATTCACGTTCTCCGAGTTGGAGCTACGACGAGTGGGGAAGGCCATGGCGGGCTACGTATGCGAGAGGCGCGCCCCGAGACAGATGGCGAGCTCGGCCCCTGATGTTGCGAGCTCGGCAGGGACGGAATTCCAATGGCTCCGTGTGAAAACCGTGGAAACCTATGGCACAAAAAGATGTGGTTCTTTCCTCGAGCGAAGTGAAACGAAGTGAAGGGTATCCAGTATCTAAAAAACTACCCAAAACTTGGTATACCTTGGTGTCTTAGGCCTTATTATCTATTTACTCAATGGCTGATTTTGTACAACGGCGGACGGGATTCCCCAGGTGGTCGGCAAAAATCTGTGGTGGGATTGGAGTACAATGTTAAGGTACGGCAAGTCGCCCAAATATAAGCATTATATAATGGTGCTTGTATAGGGGCGTCCTTTCTTCAGGACGGGGTACGTCAACCATTTGGAGGCATGCTGGACAGGCACAAGCACCACCACAGCTGCAACCGCCAAGCCTTACAGTATAATAGGTGCAAGGCTTCCAATATCATCCATCCCAAGGTTCGCAAAGAGTTCACCAGGTGTAAAGGCATGCTGGACTTCTGAGCTTCCTGCACTGAACACTCGTCCCCAAAACCACCTATCACTGGCTATGAAAACTCGTCCCCCCAAAGCCCTGGCCGATGAGAAAACGTCTCACCGAGGAGCGGGTCACGCGATTCCGCCATCGCCACCTGCGGAGCGACCAATGGCGGCAAATCGATCGAAGCAATGGGCGGCATGTTCTAGATTCTAGACGTATACATCTTATACTAGGTAAAAATGAGATAGGAGTTGTAAAACAATACTGAAAATCAATAAATTCTATCTCATAATTGCCTACTATAGCCCTCTGTGTGCTCTTCTTCATCTCATCAAGGCGTCAAACGCCTAAAACCACCGAATGTTGGGTGACCAAAGAATCTGAGATCATCTGAGCAAGGCACTTGGAGTACAGCATGTAGTCATAGATGCGTACATTGTTTTGAAGCTCAGTAGCCTTAGCTGCTTAGCTCTTTCAACAAAAGCTCGAAGCACGCCTATCATTCCGACTCATCCTGGGCCGGGTCGCAAGCCCAGCAAAACAACATCTCACCAGAAAAAAGAACTGCATTGAAACTTAAATCAACCCATTGGAGATAAGGATTTCACCAGAATTTCCAACCCAAACCAAACCATTGCAGGAAAGTAAAAACCGACTCAAATCCCTTCAGGAAGGTGGTCCTATATTTCTTCGTCCAGGGCATCCACCTCCAGGGCCTCCACCTCCGCCTGAAAAGGAGCCTTCCAGTCGAGTGATTTGGTGCGCTCACTCTCACGCCTTCCAGTCGCGATGTTGGAGGCCGTTCTTGGGCAAAGAGTCCGTCCATGCGCGCACCACAAAAAGATGTTTCTTCACTGACACTGTTCTTCAAAAGGCAAGTGGAATGCGCTGCATGGGCGCTGCATGGGCAGTCTTTTGGCTTGTGCCGCAACCGTTCAGCCGCTACAAAACCCTTTTGGCAACAAGCCATTGCCAGGATTCAAAAAACTTCAGGCGCACACACCGTGGGTTTGCCCGGCTGCTTGGCTGCGTCAAGTTGCATGGTTCATGAGGATGTCCATCATGACCTGAAGGCCCAGCGGCACGCGAAAAATCAGGAGCGGCGAAAATCAGGAGCCATGGCCACTTGTGGGCGCTTCGCTCCGATGCAATCGAAGATTACAGATATTACAGCACATGAACACTGACAGCGGGGAGGGGAGGGTGCCACATCGCAAATTTGGCTCTTTCCAGCCACGAAAGTGCCGGCAGGCGCACAAAAAGCCGAACCCATGCCTGAAAGGGTGCGATGATGATACCAAAGAGGAGGTAGCACACCAAGTCTCTGCTCCGGATATCATATTCCCTCAGTGGCTCCGAATCTGGAAATCTCGAGCCTCCCACAATGACCTGGTTTCTCCCTTGGCCTCAAAACCTCCCCACATAGAAAGGCCAAGCAGCACTGGGATTTCTGTCTCTTGGGCAAACACGTAGATGGCAGCAATAATGAAGGGCGTCATGATGGTACCTGAAGATACGGTCGATTGGTCGATGAAGCATAGTCCGGTTTGATGCTATTCAATGCTATTCATATCAAGTTCAATTACTGCTGAGTGATTCACAGGAAAAACAAGTGGAAGTTGTGGGACTGGGTGCTTGGATGTTGTTGGATATGTATAAACGTTGTCAAAGTTTTATGGGGCAATCAAAGGACCATTCCTATCGTGTCGGATGTAGCTGCAACTGCCATTGAGCTTTCAAACATCCCAGCATTGGCATTTCACACCTCAACCCCTTTTTGCTATGCCAGCATATGCCAGCCATGCCAGCCATGCGGCTCATGCAAGTGGTGCCACATCCGATCACCTCTTCCATGGCCTCTTCAATTGGCGTCCCCTCTTGCACCATCTGCGGCAGGGGCAGGTGCGTGCGGTGACTCATGTGATTAAACCAATAATCGTCCATTTCAGGCATCGGAGATGAAATGTGCAACTACTGTACAGAACTAATCTCTTGGGAAAATGGCTCTGGCTCCCAAGGTTTTGTAGGTTACCCAATTGCCTAAACACCCAGATTTGGACACACGCACCACTTCCAAATCACCAAGTCCCACAGCCTCCTCAGGTGAGATCTCCTGGCGTGGACATACGCAAAAAAAATTAAAAACATGGTGGTGATACGAATGGTGACCACCGAACAGTGAGTCTAGTCTAGTACGACCAGCTTCAAGGGCCACTGGAAGGTCACATGGTCTTAGACTGGGATCTCAAGAGGTGCTCAACTGAGCCCAGAATGGAGCTTGGCTTCGGCCGGGTTCGGCTGGATCCAATGACCGGAAAGAAACATGGTGCCGGAGGTCCAATCACTGCATCCTCAAAAGTATGTGAAATTCTTGTCGTCACCCAAAACAATAGTTTTTGAACGACGCGGCACTTCTTTGGGTTTATTACGGCTTGTTGTCTTTCCACAAAGAGAATAAAGATCTTCATGCAAAGCATGCCTCTTGCGAAACGGCACAAAACAACACAAAAACGGTGTTAAACCAAATCATCGAACATCATAATAAGTACACATCTTAAAGGGAGGTGCGATGTTGAAACGACACTTATTCTGCCAAACTACGCTTCAGAATGCATTTCACGAAAGGAGATTGAAACGTCACACCGGGGTGGCGCATGGTGGAAATCATATTATAAGCTGCCAGTCTCCGGCCTCATCATCCTTGCCCTCATTCATCAGCAAAGCCCGCGTTGATCTTCCTGCACTTGCAGTGGAACCGATCGGGCAGCGCGATGGGTATCGACGGCTCAAAAAGGTACCAGGTAGTTGCTGATGGATGTTTGATGGCAAAGCTTTCTGTATTTCTGTGGTGGAAGGGATGAGGAATGAGGACAACCGTTGTTCCTCCAATTTAAAGATAACTGCTATGCTGTGCTCACTGCTTCAACTGTCCGCGATAAAAATACTTAAAGTATCACAGTACCTAGATTCGTTCCGGCCTCCAGTCATCAGCAAGGTAATTCTCCAGAACCAGGAGCGGGTCCTTGGGTCTGGCCGAGTCATAACGATCCGTGTGGCGAAAGCTGGTAAAAGCTGGCGGCTCAAGCCAATGGACATCCCCAAGGTTTTCTTGCCATGTCCAGTGTTCGATGTGTCGCGCGGATTCCTATACTGTTATCAAATTATATGACTATTATATAATAATTACTATAGAATAATTTAGAATATAGACTAGATGTCTAACATGACTCTGGGAGAGCAGGAAGGACGCAAGACTTCCGACGTGTATGCGGCCAGCAGTTTTCCACATGTCAACGGCCATCTGATTGACGTGTATGTAGAGCACACTGAGACCTGTGTCGGGCATATGAAATCCCATGAGGTCACATCCGAGATGCTTTGCCCAATGCACTCCATAAGCAACACCCTTCTCGATGGCCTCCCAGCGTGGCGATCCGCCCCACGCGGATCACACGCGTCTCGGGACAGAGAAACGGATGGAAGAACAGGCGGTGAACCACGTGCGCAGCACTGGAAAAGCACCTGAACATCACCAGAACCGGATCCCCCACAGTCGATCATAGTCGGGTTGATCACTTGGAAGCTGGCTGCTCGAACCAGAGCAACTCTGCCAAATCCTGAGAGCTTCGCGAAAATGCCATCCTCAACCCCATGCAAACTTCATTCCGACCATGCAAAGCTGGCCGTCTTGCGAGTTGATTGGAGGTTCTGGGAAGCACATGCGCAGCCGCACCGCCCGCTGCTCGGCTGTGGCGCCTCAAAGAGGGTCCCCAGGATCAGCCGCTCGGCAATACCATACAATAGCTCCAGGAAGAAGCCTCGCAGAAGCGAGCGCAACCAGCCGGATCTGAAGGGCGAAGGAGAATGGATTAGAATGGGAATCTGTTTGGCCTTTTTGGGCCACTGTGACTGGCGACCTGTCGAACTTCATGGCTTCACATGGTCAGACTTGATGACTTGAGAGCTGCAAGTTCTACCCAACACACGCGCTTGAGTTGCAGCGCTTCATCTTAACGACCTCCCGTGCCTCCGACTCCGACTCGACGAACAGCGAATCCGAGCGCCCCCTTCGACGCCACTGGCAGTGGCCGTTCGCATCCCAGGGTTGCGTCAAGATGTTCCCGTCAAGAAGCACCGCCCAATCGATCCCAGAACAGCTCATGATCGATGAAATTCCGATCCCTTTGGCTTTTAGGACAGTATAGAGCGAAAGGTGCCTGATTGGGTGGCAACATTGATACTCATCGGGGTATAGACATGCAAATTCTGGGTGAGAGGATAACCCAACTGATTCACCAAGAACCGGATCTGTGCCAATCCTGGGCCGCTACGCGCCTTCGCAGAAGTCCACGAAGTCATCGGCGCCCAGGGTACCTTGTGGGGAAAAGAACCCACAAATCGCAAGACTGAAAACAAATCACTTGGCGTGCGGACCGCCGGGTGGCGCCCGGCGCCAGTGCACCAAACGCCTTTGGGACCTGTGCCTGTCTTGGGGCGTGGCTCTCAGTGACGTCGATGAAACAAAACTTGCGAAACAACATGACAATGTGAAGGCAAGGGCCACAGTTCCTCTTTGTCCGACCATGCAGGTTCATTCTTAGCATGTATCCAAACGAGGCGGGTGAAATGTGTATCCAAACGAACAAAAAACAAACATGACCACACCGATATTTGGGAACATCTGAGTTTCGGGACATTCTTGAAGCATACGACATCCAACCTACCAAAATGGTGGTGGTGGTCCATAATGTTGGATCACGATTAGTAAACCGGTCCGCAATAATGCTAAAATTTTCCAAAATCATTCAGCACCCCCTGTTTGAAAAAGTGCTATTTTTTTAATATTGGAAACCTAATTAATAAGGGATTGAATTCCTTCTGAGGCCAATGATTATGATTCATTAGCTGATATAGCTTTCTCTAGGTTTCTTCAAAACTGACAGCTGACCAAAACCACCAATTCCTAATTAAACCCTGTATAAAACATTGCTCCTAAACAAATTTTCAAGGTAGTAGACCAGGAAGGCACCTGATCCTCAATAATAGATTTGTTTTTGTGTTCTCAATTGTGAAAAGTTGTTTCCACTGGAAAAATTGTTCATGGAATATTCCTGTCCTTAGCTCCTGGGGCCAATGATTAGGATTCATTAGCTGATATAGCTTTCTCTAGGTTTCTTCAAAACTGACAGCTGACCAAAACCACCAATTCCTAATTAAACCCTTTATAAAACATTGCTCCTAAACAAATTTTCAAGGTAGTAGACCAGGAAGGCACCTGATCCTCAATAATAGATTTGTTTTTTGGGTTCTCAATTGTGAAAAGTTTTTTCCACTGGAAAAAATTGCGCATGTAATCTTCCTTTCCTGAGCTCCTGAGGCCAATGATTATGATTCATTAGCTATATAGCTTTCTCTAGGTTTCTTCAAAACTGACAGCTGACCAAAACCACCAATTCCTAATTAAACCCTGTATAAAACATTGCTCCAAAACAAATTTTCAAGGTAGTAGACCAGGAAGGCACCTGATCCTCAACAATAGATTTGTTTCTGGGTTCTCAATTGAACAAAAAATGCCACTGGAAAAAAATGCTCATGTAATCTTCCTTTCCTTAGCTCCTGAGGCCAATGATTATGATTCATTAGCTGATATAGTTTTCCCTAGGTTTCTTCAAAACTGACAGCTTTCTCACAGGAATTCTGACAGGAATCCAGATTTGTTTTGGTGGTAATTTATTATAGAGGAACCCAATTTGTTTGAGGGAGGGGGGGGACCCCCCTTTACTAATCAGGATCCAACATTATATGGCAAGGGATATGATGCTCAAAAGTCCTCAGGAAAGTTCTCCAAGACACCCACGAAAAGCACCACGCTGCAGGCAGTTGAGAGTGGCACTTGGACAAGTTCTTCACGGACAGCCCTGGCGAAGTTAACCAAATGGACTGGGCGACCCAATGACTATGGACGCCCCCGCTGCTAAGCTTAGCACTTGTAAGAGTTAGCACATCTTAGCCTAATCGGTGTAGATTCCGAACATCAAGCATATGAATTGCCTCAAAACTGAAGCTCTCGACTAGAGAAATGAGCTATATAGGACTTGGTGCGTCAAAGCTAAGCCTCAAACGAGCCAACTATAGTACTTAGTTTGGACTTAACCCAAGTCAAGGCTGACCCTACCTAACCTCTATCATGGCTAGTGGCAAGTCCAAGCAAAGCCCCACCCAATGTTTACTGTATGTACATGAAAGTATTTACAATATATATATATATACTGTGCACTACTGTGCATATCTTACACCTAGAGGCTGGAGAGGTACTAAAACCTGAGAGCTAGGCCTAGGTCATAAGCTACACGTCCGCAGGGTCCAGGGCTAATCTGCCAACATTATTGGCGTCTCAGGGCCTGGACAAGGCATTGTCGACAAAGTTCATGGCAAAGCTGAAGCCAATGATAAAATACCTGCCATGTTCGTGCCCCAGCTCTGAGACAAATCACATGTTTAGGGTTTCGGTCCATCAAAGGCAACGCCGGATAGTGTCCTCGTATTGATGTCTTCTGCAACTTCAAGACTGAAACCCTATATAGTGGTCGCAAGGTCGTTGAAAGCAGGAATGACTGCACAATTGCAAACCACCATGGCGTACCTATCCGTTGGAACCAGTGAGAGCAACATGGACCAACGATCCACCGGCCAAAACCGTCAGGCCAACGGTGAGACACAATCCCCCTAGAGATTCTTAGAGGATGGTTTTGCTGTGATTGCATCAATGAGGGCCGAAGCTTCTTTCACCACATACACCGTTGCAGGGCCGCGCGGCAGGGCGTTCTCTCCGAAGAAATCGCAGTAGGTGAATTCCCACAGCACAGTCAAGGGGAAGACCAAGAACATACCTGCAGCCGCTCGATGCATGTAACATATTCAATGCAGGTTTATAGATAGATATATATATATATGTATATATATATAGGTAGAGGCATGTAGGCGCATGTAGGTAATGCCCACAGGTGAAAGCAACCCAAAAAACAACAATCAGTGATCAATAAGCTATAATGTTGATCTGTTGCTGCTGGGATAGGAAAGGATGGGCTGGCACCTGAAAACGGCCGAGATCCGCATCAACTCAAGCTTCCAAGTCGATAAGTTGAGGGTGCACGCTTTTAATCTGCATATATATTTATACATATATATATATTTATTTATGGTTTCCTGAAAAAGGAATCAGTATACAGGAAAGATCCACAACTTGACTCTTGATATTCTGGAGCATCTACAGCTAACACCTGATGGCCTCACACACACAGATTTTCGCATGTGACGGAACATCACTATAGGCCATGTTGAGACTCAGGGGTGCGATCACTTTGGATCCAAGCGTCTCACGAAAATGAGATGGGCACGCTTCCACCGAATGGGCACATTCCTGCGCTGCGCACGGCCGTTTCGGTCCAAGCGGTCCAAGTACGCCAATGTCCATCAATACACTCCCGAAAACTCACGTGGACCCTAACGTCCTGGCCCCTTGGAAAATGGTTTTCAGGGTGATCGTCGACACCAGGGTGTACATGCGCTCTCATGCGCCGGTGCGAACGGGCCGACCCACGCAGCCGCCCGCAGCAGCCCGCACGTCCTGATTTGTTGCCGCTGTTCAGCTCGCAAGGTCAAGCCTTCCCGACCTCGCTGTGGGCAGCCATGGGAGGCTGCCCTCCCTGCCCTCCCTTCGCCTCTTCGTTGAATGGTGCACTGATATAGGTTGATTGTTGACAAACAGGGTGCCAAGACTGGTGCGAAGCCTTTGTGAGGAAACATGTTTCCTGCCAAAGGTCTCAACATTTGGTGCAGGCTGAACTGATATCGGCACCTGCGTACTGGTGGTGAGAAGCCAAACACATGCATGTCAGGAGCTCCACTCTACTACTCTACACTTTTGTTCTTGTTGGTCTAGATGGGTTCCAGGAGTAACATTGGATGCATGGCGACAACATACTGTTGGCTGTTTTGTTGGCCGCCGTTTGTTCCGATGAACAACCAGATCTATATAATATACTATATATGTATAATATATACATGTTTGAACTTTTCCATTCACAACGCGCAACCCAAAGGTGCCACACTACTTCACCAGCACATGCTACCCAAAGGATCATATGAAAATGTTGCTGCAATCACAAAGGAACGCTTGTCCCGATTTTTTGTTCGGGGGGAAGCTTCATGAGCACCATGTAGTCAAATCCATGGTGTGCACTAGTGAGCTGACATGCAGCCATCCAAGCCTTGCCTCCCAGCAAGCCTTAACGGACAAAAAAGACACAAAAGACCGAGGTGCTGAGCAAATGAGTGGGCTGCTGCAAGAGAAATTGTTCTTCCACTTCTCGGAGGCGAGGGATCACCAAGCGACTTCCAGAGACCATCATCAGCAGCCTCGAAGAGTAAAACGGGATAAATTTTGTGCATAAATCTGAGCACTCACCATGCGTTCTTTTGGTAAGGAGTTGATTTATGTTGATTTCGACCCAAGCAACAACCACTACACTATGAACAGTTGTTGGTGAAAAGCTGGATTTGTTATGCAGAATCAAATTAGATATAGTTGTTTGTAAACTCTCACAAGAGCCCAACAAGTCATGCACAAACAAGGTTGTGCAGCATGACCTCTGGCTTACTATGACTGTTGTTTTTTTGAGCGGAACAATAAAAGTTGTGTTAATTATGTTGTTTGCATTGATTTGTAAAGTTTTAGATTGAGGCAGCCCAACGCGTGCACATTTTGGGTCGCACACCAGCCCACCGTTGCTTTTTTTGCAGAGCCCAATGTGTCAATAGAAGAAAGCCCACCGTACCGCAGTACTGCGTGAACATACAATATATATATATATGATATATACACCTCCACACAGGTTCTTGTGTGTCGCTGGTTTACTGTAAAATGGTGCTTCCACATCCCTGCACTCTTACCACTGGATGTTCGCGGGAGCAGTGAAGGATGATGCTACAGCTGTTTAGCTGGGAGGGTGCCCACGTCGGGAGTGCCGCTTTTGGACCATTTCCCTCAAATGTGACGTCGGGGCGCACAACCAATTCCAGTGATTTGGAGGCCTCGGTGCTAGGACGTCCCAGTCTGCCATTTGGAACACCGAAAAGCGCTCACGTCGCCAAGCAGCCCCCCCAGCAGGAAGCATGTGCCGGTACGCCCCTCACGGCAACGGTCTGACTCCTTCTCATCAGACTGAGCAGATGCAAAGAGCCTCAGCTGAGCATCCCGCAAAGGGGCTGCCTGGCCTGCCCGTTTGAGAGAAGCATGTCAGAGGAATGAAGATGTATAAAGATAATGCATTCCAATTTTCCATATCTTTCTCATGTTTTATTGTTCTTTGTCCGGTGGGTGCTATTAAAAATATAGACTAGATATCACAAAAAAAACATTCCCAACATGCCTTGCGAGACCAGCATGACAAGTGGCATGACCCTTCCATAATACCCGGCATCCCTGCCCAGGCACTGGGAGTACGTACACGGAATGAACCCTGTGAAGTTGAACTGCGGATCCAACCTGGGCAAAAGCGGCAGAAGTAAAGGCGCCTGGGTGCCATCCAGGTAGGGTAAGTCTGCTTTCCCGGTGGTGAAACACATCCAACACTTGCCAGTTGCCGGGTTGAAGTTTCTTGAAGGCACACCCAAATACTGCATGACTGTAGAGCCTCGCAAAGGGTGTAGCGAACCAGGTAAACCAAAGTCACTTGCGGTTTGATCGCAACTTGAGTTGAGGGGTTTGTGGAATTGCTGACCTCTCGGTCAAAGCCACCAAATGGAATGCAGCCATCAAACACACTTGCCAAGCAGGGCAGAATTAATGAGCAGGTCAAAATAAATCCTTTGGACTGGCTGGGCAAAAGTTGAGCTACACATCGGCTGGCTTTTAACTTGTGCACACCCCTCGAACCACGACGACAATGCTGTTCTACCCTCTAAAATTGCAAAATATCTTAGGGTCTCATACCGCCCAACCTCTTGGAATCAGTCCCAAGCCGCTTCCTGTGCCAAGGAGCAAAAGCTTAATGGCCCCACAAGCAAAAATCACGGGCATCGTTGCCCAAGTTACGCCTTGCACTGGCCACCAAAACATGAACTCATAACCTCAGCTGATCTAGCGGTGGAACTCTGATTTGAATCCACCCACAAGTTGGAATACGATAGAGAACCCGGAGAAGCCAATAGACATCTCTGGGGGAAGTCAAAAGGCTTGGCAGCTGGCTCTTCCCAATTCCCGTCTGTTTTGTCTCGAGTACGTGATCTTTAAAAGGCTCCGTGGCGCCGCGGCGGGTGGCGTCCGAGCGTCACTCAATGAGGCGGAAGGGTGGCGCGGTGGCTTTGCGCACCTCGCCGTGTTGGGTCCGACAGAAATTGCTAACATCACTGATAACTAAAAAGAGAACCAACTGCTACACCTTTCCGCGGGAAAAAATGCAAGAGAACCTGTTTCTAACAGCAATGGCCTCCAACCTAGAAGCGATGGCCTCCAACCTGCTAGAACCAGTTTCTATAAAAGAGCGCGTGAAGCATTGGTCCACTGGATGGTAATTGTTTCTTCTGCATCTGAACTTACGGCAAGAAAGATTATAGACCTTGTAAGTGCTGTCATCTTCGATCTCAGCCGTCAGGTTGAATATAAGGCAGCCAATGCAAGTGAGTGCAATCGGAGTACATGCCCCTTTCACTGCAATCCATGCCTGACTCCTGACAAACTATTCTGGCTATAACATGAGCACCGCTGAGCACAACCTCTGTTCTCCGCGAAGCAGTGAAGTATCTATACCAGTATATAATCATAATTTGTATTCTATATTTTGTGCTTGGATGCCATTAGTCCCTTTCATCTTTTCCAGACCCAAACCTCTTCCAAACTCCCAAAGAACTCTTCCAAACTCTGAACCCACCTTCTTCCGGCGGATGCGGATTCCCGCCTTCAGTCGGATTCCAGCCCAAGCGACGAGAGTGGCACCTACAGCACCCAAGCCTTGGGCCGGACACATCGTTCATGACACAAAAAGGAAAAAAACAAAATATAGTGGATTGAGAGTAGATGGCACAAACCCCAAGAGGTGGTTTATATGACCCCCATGTAAAGGACATCTTGAGGTCTGTGCCATCTACTCTGAAACCACTGTAAGCATTTTTTTCGGCACACGTCACAGCATACGTCATCTGCAAGCAAAGAGTTAGAAGCTTGGAAATCCATCGCTGTCGTTTGGTTGAGGCCTACGTTCCTCAACGGCGAGAACATCATATCAGTCCATAGTTTGCGGAGGGACGGTAAAATAGGAAAAGAATGGAAAAGCTCTCACTTGCGACATTCTTCAAGCAAAAACAAGCAACAACATGCATAAGGTTGATCATTTGTCGCTCCGAGTGCCTCTTGAGTTCTCCCATTGAATTAAAGAGTGAGTATGCCACATGTCAAGCGAGAACTTGATTAACATCCTGCCCTTGTGCAACTGCATTGCTCTCAACAGCCAGTGACCCGGTTTGTGACAACTGTGTGTTCATTCTTCTTGCTCCAACGACTAAATGAGCAGGGTTATTGTTAATAAAGGCTATGCGGTGGAGGAAAAAAACTGTTAATAAAAACTGACCAGAACGCAGCTGGAAAACTGTTATTCTAGGCTTTTGTTCATCGCAGCCTTCTGATGTCAAGAATATTTATGACATCCTATCTTGCGGTAGGCCCGTGGTAAACTAGGACCTTGCCTACGGAGAAGCCTACGAACGTGACGTTTTGGTTCAACTTTGCTGGCTTGTGCCTACGGTAGAGTGTGGAACCTGTTTTTCTACAAGGTTGAGCTACTGCTACTGCTACTACTGCTCCTGCTCCTGCTGCTGCTGCTGGTGCTGCTGCTCCTACTGCTACTCCTGGCGACTCCTGCTGCTGCTGGCTGCTGCTGGCTGCTGGCTGCTTCCTGCTGCTGGCTTCTGACTGCTTGCTGCTGTTGCTGCTGCTGCAGCCGTACCACATCCCAGTGACGATTCACATCTACTACAAATCGATAAAGAGTGGGCCAAGGGTCACGAGAAGCATTTTCGCCTACGGGATACTTACGCAGAACGTACGGTGCAAGTTCCGCACAAAAAGCTGCAAATGATGTATGGCCTCTGAGCCTCTAAACATGCCATGGAATTCATTGAACACATACCAAGAGTGTCTAGTCTCCATGTCCTAGACTAATTCCTGAAAGGAAATCTTTTTCCCTGTCCTCAGTGCCTCAGCAAAGGGTTCCCTGCACGTAGTTTTGGGGTTTCAAAATGGACTGCTGCAAGCAAACATCCGGAAAAAAAGTTGCCTGCGGCAAGTGCCTACGACAAACCAGTATTATGCCTACGGGGAGTGTACGTCCGCTTGCTTATCATGCCTATGCCAGACTGTTGATCACCTTTTGTGATGTCAATGTTTGTATAAATCCAAAACAACTTCAGTTCTCCAAAACAACCTCGGTGGACAATGTTGTCTTTTTATCACCTTTTGATCACCTTTTGGAGATCTCCAAACCAACCTCAGTTCTTCGCGTTCCTCGTTTCTGTGTGGGCGACGTTCGCCAAAAGTCGCCCCACCTGGACGGAGCAAGCGCTCAACCTGTCAGCTCGTCAACAGTTCTCACCCGGATGAGCCAGGAAGCCGATGAGGCAGTACAGGATTCCGTAGACCTCGTGTATTCCACGAGTCCACCGGCTGGGGTAACAAACCAGTGGCGCAGCCCGCCAAGCTGCTTTGGAATGAGAAAAGCTTATACAAGCATGTGGCAGCATGTGACATGCACCTGTGAATGTTGCCTCAAACTACATGTTTCATTGGAGATCTCGACTCGGGCGGCCAAAAAGGCCTCTTAATAAAGTCATGGCATTTGGCGCCACATAGTTTTGGGTCCCTTGCAATTTCAACATGGCTGTCGGTCATGGCGCGCCAAACACTAAGGGCTGCACATGATATGGCCTCGGCACGAAGGGCTGCACATATCCACACCGACTACCACATGCTGCTCCCTTGATGTGGAACCCCTCGTCCGAAGCGGCAACATGGTATGAGTTGCTTTGCTTTTTTGGGGGGGTGGGTTCCACTGTGATATAGTGGGTTCAAAGTAGATGGCACAATCCCCAAAAGGTGGTTTATATGGCCGCCATCCAAGAAACATGTGGGGCCTGTAGGGGGTTGCACCATTTACTCTGAAACCCTTGTAAGGGTATGTTACGATGTGTTCTTCAACGTAAGGACATTCCACATCGCTGTCCGGCATCGCCGTGCGAAATGGATGTGGATCTTGCGTACGCTAGGTTTGTGCACTCACCGACGCAAAAACCTGGTTTTGCTCTTGGAATCGTCACAGAATGAGGACTTCGCCGTGAAGTGTGTAGAAGTGGCAGTCGGCAACTGTTTCGTGTTCGGAGTCTCGGTGTGTATGATTTTTGAATGGACGAATGTGTGCTTCTTTCGTCAAGAATGAGCATTGTTATGAGGGGGCCTGTATTTTATTTTGGACTCCTTATAAGGTCCATTTCAGGAAAAAAACTCTGACATGACAGTCCTGGAAGGCTAAGAGTATGAGACCTAAACACCCCTGATCCACCATATCCATCTGTCCTGTGGCCATGTTCAAGGCAAAGTACTGAAATGGCATGCTTGCCACACCATCAAAAACCGGATCAAGGCACTGAAGAAATGTTTGCCGGTCTCCAAAATGGAGTTGCGTCCCCTTTTCAAGACAAGTTTTGGAGAGGCTTTTAGATGTTCACATCTATATGAAAGCCAAGGCACAGCTGGAATTCGTTCATGAGATCTTGCCATCCCAGCGCTTCGTAGGTCAGCATCAGGTAATAATGAGCTTGGCCGAGTTCGACATGTCAGGAATCGATTTTCATCCAGGGGCCCAGCTACTCCCAAACCCATCGGAACAATGACCTGGTGTCTCTTCATTCGTGAAACATGCCACACCCAAATGAGGTGCTTTCTACCTTTTTGTGACGCCGAGTAAGAAGACAGGTTGTAAAGAACCTGAAGAGACTCCCCATGACTAGCCCAGCACCATGATCGGAATGAATGTATCAGTCATAACAGTCATAACTGATTGAACAAGCATAACTTATTGTGTTTCAATGTTGTTCTTAAAATTACGTGGATCCCCTCGACGACCCCCCAAAAAGGAAACTGCTTTCTTGCCTTTCTTCCCATAACTTGTTGCCTTGTTTGACCAGCTTGCATTGATATCATTTGATTATTTGATCATACTGTGAAAAGTGTGCATACAAATTGGTTTAACTGCTTGTTATTTGTTCTTGAACTTGAGATTGGAACGAACAGCTTTTCTATCCCCTGCGTCTTTCTTTTACACATCAGGGTTCGTCCAAAATTCTTGTCTCAAGTGTTGCCAAGAAATCTTATTGTGATATAAATATGTATATCAGTTTTAGTATGACTTAAAGACATGTCTAACGGTATATCAGGACTGTCTTTCTGCTCATTGGTATTCCCAAGATTTGAGTCTGCTTGTGTTCAAAATGCATGACTCGTCCAAACTCTGCTTCCCAAGCCACTATCTGTGGGGAAGGGATCCTCGTCAAACTCTGACAAAACCATATCCGCATTGACCAACTTCTTCTCATCTGCGAGGTCGGCAAACAATGACGTCACTCTTTTTGCATGATTTGTGATAGTGAATGTTGCACCATTCTGACAGTGAACATGTTCTGTAGCAATGTCATTCTGCTACAAGACCTTCCAACAGCACAGCTTATATACATGTTGCATGTTCCGGAAATTAGGCTTCAAGTAGGTCTGTGTGTGAAATTGAATGAATTAGCTTTCTCGGATGTACCCCACATCCGAATACTGTACTTCTTTGGGGAGGCTTTGGAGCCTACGCATAACCTACGCCATGCAAAAGGTTGTCCATCCAAAGCACTTCTCTAAGGTGAGCCTACAGGTGATGCCTATTGGGCCTACATGGGACTACAGTATCTGAGCAAATTGCAAACAGCAAAGACCTGTTTGTTTCTACTCAACGCAACACCCCCCTATACAAATACACAAACACAAACTACTGCAAGTGCCTGCACCTACAGCGGCCCAAGCCTACGCCACCTACGCAGCATTTAAGGAGTTCCCTCTTCATCTTTAGCGTGCACAAGTGCTCACGCCACGACGTCTCTCAAACGGGTCCCTTGGAGGTCGTCCCTGACAGTGATCTTAACCATGGCCGAAGCGCCTTGGGTCTGCTGGAAGTAGGCCATGCTGAAAAAGACCCGGCGGGGTACGCGCGCTTCGGGTCCCCTGCCAAGCTCTGTGTTCCAGTGTCGAGTTTCGCCTGCCTTCTTGACTCACCCTGCTTGGCAGCGAGCAAAAGCACTAAACCGCAGAATGCACAAAAAACTGACCCAAAGATGCTCCGAATGCTTCTGTTCCTCTGTCAGCGCCCATTGCGCGCACAAAGCCCGTCCTGTCTTGGTTCAGCAAATTGACCTGCCATCATGCAAATTGGCAATCGAACATGGGCATGGCTAGTTTGCTGACATACTGGTAGAAAGTGCAAAACGTGTTCTGAACTCCATAACCCAAAAGGTCCTTGAGAGGGGTGGCACAAGTGGTAATGTTGCTGAAACTTGAACTTCCAAACACACCAAGTTTACGTCAATTATTCATGAGTTATTTGGAGACATTTAGAGGCTATATGTAACAATGTAGTCTCCTTTTGAGTCCCGCTTCTGTCATCCAATGCAATCCGGCCGTCCTCCAACCCCACTGACCCTTCTCTATTAGCTGAACTTCAGAACCTTTCTCAACTGGAAAAATCGCTTTCTTGGGAGAGCACGTCTGTGAACGTGGCTGCTTCCATCCCGTCCCGTCTATGTGCGGCTCTCCAAGGAACCCCCGTGAGGAGCTCGGTACCGACCATGGGCGAAAAGAAAGCGTCTCCTTGACGGTAGTCCTGGCAAAACAAGACCTCTGAACTCTAACCGGAGATCATTGGTACAAGTTACAGGTATTGGTTGGGCGGCCTGAACCAATGCCGGCCTGTCCTTCGCTACACGCGAAGGAAAGGCCCCCGTCGCAATGTAGTTGGGTCGGGATTCTGGCCTTTTTCCTCGAGTGGTGCTTGCGCTGCTCACTGCCTGGGGCTTGGTAAGCCTCGACTTCTCATGGCTGTTTGTACCACGGATTTACATATCCGGCAGGTTGCAGTCCTCCATAATCCTAATCCTAATTGTTATGATTTGTTATGTACTAATGTACGTGCAGTTATTGCCAGGATTAAATGCATAAACATGTCAGCCCGACTGGAAATAATATATACAACATAATTAGAACAGTCCTCAAAGGTAATGGGGAATGTAGTGATGTAGAAAAGCACCACTTCCTTGGCGAACGTCACGTGCTGGCACACCCAAGGGAGGCAGGTCGAAAAATCGGGCGTGGAGGTCGTTTCCATCTGACGAGGTCGTTTCCAACGACAGGATCAGCTACTTGACCAGCCCAGAACGACAGGGCCAAGACTCAATGAGACGAAACCAGGAGGGCAACCTTTGAACGATCCGTTCAAAGTCCAACAAATAGTTTCTTACGAACGATCTGCCATAAGAGCATGTCATCTCTCCTTTTCGCGTTCTTCAGCATCTGGCAAGGACGAAAAGAAACGAAACCGTGTTGCTACACTCCCGACAACCATGAAAGTGGAGATCAGTGGAGTTCACCACCTGTTTGCTACTCGGCTCCGGTCTTCCAAGGTCCCATGAACTGGCCATGCGTGGGCCAAGCACACGATCGTTCTCCGAACGAGCACACGAACCGGTGCCGGTCGGACTTCGGAACGCCACCGGCACCTGCCCGGTTCACCGTTTACGCATGGAACCCATACTCGTCAGACTCGGAAAAGACTGAGATGTTGCACTCTGAGATGCAATGTCAATCTCCCACCAAAGTTGCGATCCATAGAAATCTGGCAAACGGCTTAAACAAGCAAAACCGTTTGCAAGCCACCTAACAGTTGAACATCACCTAACTCACTGATATTCACTGCTGGTTGAACTGTGGAGGGCACAAACTTGGGAGGACTACTTGGAGGCGATTGATTTTGCAAGAGTGAAAGAGAGGTTGTTATGCTTTGTTGTGCCGGGTCCCTAAAGCAGTATACATCCAATTATATACAAGACATGCAGGTGCAATGACTTTCGTCGCTGTCGAGGATACTGATCAAAACTGGCAACGCTTGGCCATTCAACGGGCAACGTCTGGATTCTCCCGGTCTCCCTGGGTGCTGGTGTCGCCTGGATCCAAGCTCTCTTCAAAGTGGCACTTGGTGGTGAAGGTGCAGGTGTCCGCCACGGGAACTGGGCCGGTCAAGATACCCTTTTGAACCAAGCAGTGAAGCATCGATGGATGCAAGAGAAGTACAGTATAGGTATGATTTATGCTCTAGACATCGATAGACGCATGCATGAGAATCGATGGGAAGGATTGGTTATGATCATCATACAAACACATACTAAAGCCAACTTGGATGACCACACATTTTTCAAGACTTGAGGCCAGGGGGAGGAGGTCGAAAGCTAGCCGAATCGCACCGGATGTACTAGATACATAGTCGGCAAAGCATGTAGTGATTACATGTGTTGGGAGAAAGGTTGCTACGCACATACTTTGCGCTAAAGAATGTAAATGTGACATCGCCGACTGGGAAGGGTACATTGGAACAACACGGGTGCACTCGTTGGCAGGCACGAAGATGCGTGATCGGCAAATCTGGGGGTTAAATTTACCCCCCGCTTTTGTATGCCTTGAGTCGGAAAAGAGGGGTAAGCATTTCTGACATCACACGGACTGTGCATACACTAGGGCGTCCGTAGTGTAGGATAAGCACTGATACAAGCTATAAGGAGTAGAGTGTCTTGAGGAAATAGCCGGCTTATGGCTATGGCAAATCTGGAGGGTAAATTTACCCCCCGCTTATGTATGCCTTGAGCCGGAACGAGGGGTAAGCATCACAAGGACTGTGCATACACTAGGGCGTCCGTAGTGTAGGATAAGCACTGGTAAAAGGTATCAGGAATAGAGTGTCGTGAGGAAATAGCCGGCTTATGGTTATGGCAAATCTGGGGGGTAAATTTACCCCCCGCTTATGTATGCATTAGGTTAGAAATAGGGGTAAAGAACTTGTAACAGTGAAGTACAAGTCCTATGCAGCAAGCAGCAGCCAGCAGCCAGCAGCAACCACACACCACCAACCAGCAGCCAGCCAGCAGCACCACGCAGCAGCAGCGCAGCACCAAGCCGCAGCAGCAGCAGCACCACCACCAGCAGCAAGCAGCAAGCAGCAGCAGCAGCAAGCAGCAGCAGCAAGCAGCAGCAGCAGCGGCGTCGTCAGCAACAGCAGCAGCAGCAGCAGCACCAAGCCGCAACAAGTAGCAAAGCAGCAGCTACAAAAGCGGCAACCAGCGGCAGCAGCAAACAGCAGCAGCAAGCAGCAAAGCGGCAGCAGCAGCACCGTTTACACCAAGCCACCGTTTACACCCAACCAACCATGTTCACACGTTCAACCAACCCCCGCTACACGGCGCAGCTGGGAGTCGAACCGTGGGGGGGGAGGGGGGGGGTTAGCGTGATATATCAAGCTTTAAGGCACACAGCTCATCCCACTACCAATTGCTAAAGCAAAGAAGAACTCAGCTAGCATGCTAGCTTTCGTGATTTTGCCAAGCCACACATGTCCAAGACAGTAAATTCAAACACTTTGCTCTCAGGTAATGAAGATTCATCAACTGACGAGGCGCAGCCGAAATGTTATGTGATGCATCCACAAGGAAAAAACGAGCAAATGATCATGCTTCCGACGAAGCTGACCATGCTTCCGACAAAGCTCGTCAATGAATCCTAAATACCAACACTAAATCAGTGGATGTTTTTCAAAAACGCAGGCAAAACCCCATGAGTGTCATCTTGATTCTCCAATAATTACATGTGTTTCCGCTATCCAGGATCACCCAAAATTCAAGTGCATGATGTCTTTGACATCCTGGTTTTGAACGCACACCCCAAAATCCAAAATACCAAACAAAACACCAACAATTTCCTTAGCGTGATATATCACGCTAGAGTGGGGGGGCCAGGCCCCCCCCCCTTAGTGTGATATATCAAGCTTTAAGGCACGCAGCTCATTCCACTACCAATTGCTAAAGCAAAGAAGAACTCAGCTAGCATGCTAGCTTTCGTGATCAGTTTTAATACCTCTTTGCAAATCGAGTGGCATAAGCGTGGCTCCAAGGTATCCTTAGATGCAGCTGCAGCTGTACTTCAGCTCATTACAGCAGCATGGACATGGTCAAGAGTTTAGAACTTGCAGCCCTGAGATCTGCACTATCCAACCCTCAAACAACAAGCTTGCCGGGAGAATGTGTTCATGCCCTATGGTATGGCCCTATGTTACGTTCTATGCAATGCATGTTCGGCATGAATCTATAATTAATAATACGTCGACAATTGTCGACATGTCATGTCCCCCTCCCTAAACGCACATTCAAAACATCATAACATCATACAGCATACAACTACTCTACAATATATCCAACTGGAAAAGAAAAGGTCCAGGTGACTCCCCGCTCCGATTGGACACGTCATACCCGGCCCCAGCATATCGCTTGTGATCGTGGAATATCTGCGATCAAGTCTCGAAATCCAGAATCAAGGGTGGCACGATCTTCACGTCCTCTTTGGGCACCAGTTCACCTGCAAATCCATCCAAGTGCGACAGGCTGGGCCAAGCGGTCTGTCTTATGCGCCAAGAGAAGCAAAAAACAAACGCAGAAGAGCGCAGGGTAGACCCATCAAGTGCTATAAAGGCTGCCTTTGAAAAGGGATGTCTGGGATCCGGAAGATTGTTATGATGTTCTCAAATGCCGAGAGCCAGGCAAGGAGGTGAGACCAATGAGGCCTGATAGCGCAAGGAGAGTTGAAGAGAGGCATCGAGATGATGTGAGAAACCATAGAACAAACTCGTAGACCATTGAACAATGGACACCGCCAGGAGCAAGGCCTCAATTCAATCGGGACAAACCATGAAAAAGAGATAGGGTTTGTCCGTGCTGAGCCTCTTACGACTTCATTAGATTAGATCTACCAAGGAACCTCTCCTGAACCGGCTCGACTTGATTTCGAACGCCCGTGCCGTGCGTTCGACCGACATCTCCCGCACCATCGTCACAGCGGAACGTCCCAGGAGATTCGAAGAAGTCCCACAAAATGATGTAGGAGTCGAACCTGAGGTGTGTTTTTGGCACTCATTTCTCATCTGGAAGCGAAGCAAAAACGCGCAACAAGATGTGTGTTGCTGTTTTGTTTGTGCGTCTTTTTGCGGAAATATCATGCGATCACGCACCAGGGCTTCACACTACAGTAGGTGAAGTGAAGACTCCTCTGAACCGACTTGCCGCCAGGCAGCCCATTACAATGGGAGAAGAATGGGAGCCAAGGCATAGGCACCTCAAAAGCAGTTCTGTGTTTAAGGTATTCATGCCTGCCCTGTTCTGCTTAATTGCAGCTAAAATTAGAAACGGCTGTGCAGCTATTTCTCTGGAAATCTCTTTTCTGTGGAATTTCAGTTGAAAAAAACACATCACTATCCATAACTGAACAGTGTTTGTTGCCTGTTGTGATGCTTCTTTTATGATAAGGATGGACAGGGCGCCCTGAATTCATCTGTGGGAACTTGAGACCAAGCATCCATCACCATGCCATGCATTGACACAATCAGCATGTGCCCTCAGCCAATGAAAACGCCGAGCAACTGTGTCAAGCTGTGAAGATTGCCAGAAGGCCTGTCGCACTTGCTCATCTGCGTGCTTTTCTGGGTGCTAGAATGGTGCTCACAGGAAACATGGCTACAACTTTGACTCCCATTCAATGTCTGGCCCTGGCTGCAGTTTCAACAACACTCTTCTAGACGGTGGATGTGGTCCTAAACACTCCAAGATCGCACCACACCGGCATACAATCCTTCGACTTTGAGTGCATGTCCAGTCCCAAACGCGCCATGGGACTGCCTATGCGAATTAGTTTGGGGTGGTGCCAGGGGGGTCAATTGATCGGCATATATTCCAGTCCCATGGAGTGTCTGGGAGTAAAGAATGATTCACGGAACGATCAACCATTGCCGCCTAGTCGTCCGTGGTCGACACGTGCGCGTTCGCTTTGCGACGCGAACGCGCGGCCCGGAAAGCACCGTGCCACCCTTGTCGGTTTCAGCCAAGGCATTGGCACCATCAAAGGGCACCTGCGCAAAAACAAGGCACCTGTGGAACGCACATGTCTTCCAAATTGACCCTCACGTCATGTTGCAAGATGTTGCATGTAGCTACATCTTGGCAACCGAAGGGTCAAGTTCTGGCCCCGGAATGCGCGCGTTTAGGGAATCAGGAATGTTCCCAATATGTTCGTCCCCAATTCATATTTGTATACCAGCACCCGACTTCACAGGTGCTTCCTGGTGACAACAGGTGCCCAGAAACCGAACAGCCTGTTGGAGGATCCTGGCATATGCATGTGTATATATATATAGAGAGAGAGAGTCATAAATAGTTATATACATAATATATATATATGGGCGCGCGTGCTTTTCGGGGCCCCCTGAGAAGTAA